GGTGGCACATGTCTGTAGTACCAGCTACTTGGGAGGCTGAGGTGAAAGGATTGAGTCTGGGAGGTCAAGGCCGCAGTGAGCCGTGATCAGGCCTGTCTGTGGGCTGTTGTGCACGGCACAAGGGTTGATTCTTCAAGGAGTCCCCCAACCCCAAGGCCCCTGTGGTATCCCCAGCCTAGGGCTGGGAGTGTTTGTCCCTGGGGGCCGACCCTTTCACCTGCCTGCTCTCTGTCCCTGCAGCACTGTTGGAAAGAGGAGGATGGACGTTGGGTGGTCGCCCTGGATGCCGAGGTGTTCGTGCCAGGGCTGGTGGGGCTGCGTGCCCTTGGCCTGCTGCAGCAGCAGAGACGGCTCTGCACCAACTCTCTGAGAATCCAGTACAGCCTCCTGCATAAGGCACTGCATGCCTGGCTGCAGGGGAGGTGGAGGTGGCAGGGCCTGCCCTGTTTCCCGTGGCTGTGGCTCTGTGAGCTAAGATATACTGTCACCACAGGATTTTCCATTAGTCATTCTGTGGGCTCTAAGTAGGACTTAGTACCTGCTCATTAAAAAAAAAAAAAAAAAAGGTGTGTCTGTTGAGGGGACATTCATCTAACTCTTAAGACCTCCCCATGGACAGGTTCTAATGGAGTGACAGGCAAAGCAGAGCACAAGGCTGGGGGGACATGGCTGAGGCCAGGCTGGGCTGGGCCCTCCTCCTCTTGGAGCCCTGCTGGAGAGCTGCCTGGCAGAGGAGGGCAGTGGTCCCTTGATCGATCTTCACAGCTCAGGCAAAGCAGCCAGCACACCAGTGCAGCACTGGCCAGAGGCTGCAGACAGAGGGTGGCTCAGACGGCGCCTACAGGCTGGAGCTGCGCCATGAGCTCCACTGCACACAGATCCCAGCCTTCAGCCACAAGGTGGGTGCCCATGACAGGTGGGATGTCCAGAGAGAGCACCAGAGTCTGGCAAGTGGTGATCCTAGTACCCTGAGCTCATCCCCAGAGATGAACTTGCTCCCAGTAGCATAGCCATATAGGAATGGATCCAGGGCTGGCACTTCAGCCTCAGTCTTATGTCTATTCATCCAGGGTTGCTTCAGCCCAGGAGGCAGAGGTTGCAGTGAGCTAAGATGGTGCCACTGTACTCTAACCTGGGCAACAGAGTGAACTCTTATCTCTAAAATAAACAATAAGTTAAAAAAAA